AAACAGGAGGTCCCTGTATGGCAATGGGGAGTGAGTGCGCGGTTACTACCCACATCACCCACCTCCACCAATTGGTGCTCAACCGGGATAACTAATTGCCTATAAAAGCCATGGTGTTGACAGGGAGACTGACACAGCTCCCACCTCAGCATCACCCTCACTAATACTCCGTCCCTTGGCTCGTTTGAAACCCCTCCATGCAGGCTCCGCTGCCAGCCAGCTCCCGACCCCACGTCTTCACACCCCTGGTGGGTCATAGCCCTGTCACACCTACCTTCAGCTGCTTCATGGTCGCAGCATCCTGGCTTTCCTGCACTGCACCCTGACCTCCCGGCATTGGCTCTAAAAAAAAAAGAAAAAAAAAGGTAAAGGCCATATCAGCCCAACAGCACATGTCTCCCAACAATCCCCCTCCCCCCACACTGCATCTGCACACTATATATAAGATCTTTACGTGTCATGGGCACATCTCCTCCAGGCTGGGGCAGCCCTGCATGGCTGCAGCTGTGGGGTGGTTGCACATTTGGGACAGGCACTGCTGTCTCACCCTGCTCTATACCAGCCTGTCCTCCTCCACACAACCTGGCAGAGCAGCAAGGAGACCAAGGCAGGAGAAGAAGCTCCCCACCACCATCCTGCAAAGACCCCAGGAGCCAAACAGAATCCAGCCATGAGATCAGCCCCAAATCTGAGAGGCAGGAATCAGCATAGTGAAAGGCCCAGCAAGACGGAGAGATGTGGCTGCAAAGTTGGGGTCCCCACAGAGAGCCCCAGACAGCCACAGGTAAGCAGTAGTGAGGGTTGAAAGGGAGAGCTCGGTGCCTGTGCAGAGCCTGCTTAACTGGCCAGGATCTCCCCCATGCCGGTCTTTTGGGATCCCGCTGCCCACTGAGCATCGCAGGGCTGAGAAGTGCTCATGGGGGCATAGGTGCCATGGGGCTGCTCCATGCCAGCACAGAGACGGACATGAGATTGACTCCTCTTCCAAACCTTGCCAACACTCCCTGGGACATCCCAGTGGGGAGACACACCTCTGCTCTGCTTCAGCCGCCGCGTGGCCACCTTCAGGTGCTTGGTCCTGCCCAGGTCCTCCCCGAGGAGATAGTACCAGCCGCTGATCTCCTGGGTGGGAGGAAAGAAGCTGTCAATATGGGGGCAGATACTCACCCCCCTTTAACTCAGTCTGGTTGCCCATAGCCCCAGACGGGGCCCGTTGCAGGAGCTGCCCCAGGCCGGTACACAGAGGCTGCCCAGACACGCTCACACTCAGAGACACAGCCTGGAGTCCTTCTCTTAGGATACAGCAACAATTAAAATTCCATACCCCTGCAAGGAGGGACCAAGCATCACCGAAGTAACAAGCTTCTAGGTTTTTAGAGGGAGACAAGATGCAGAAAAAGTCAGTCTCCAGTAAAACTGTCCATACCGTGTTTGCAGCAGCCGGCAGTCTCGCAGGGAGCGCACGGCTCCAGCCTTATCACCAGAGGAGGATGCCCAAACCAGCTTTCAGCAGCGCTGGGTGCTCCTCAGTGGGGCTCAGTTTGCCCCGTCCCATACCCATGCAGCCAGGGCAGCAAAGGGGACAGAGCTGACCTTGGCAATCCCTTGCCTCTCTTCCAGGGAGCTGCCGCTGTCTCCCGTTGCTCCGCAGGCAGCCGGCAGAAGCCGGAGGGACCAACCATCCTGAGCAAGCCCAGGAGTTGGCTGCGGTTGCAGGAACCATGTTCCCAGCGGTCAGAGGAAGGGGCCCGTTTTAAAATGAGTGTTTTAAATCCACAATGAGGAAACTGAGGAGAGGGGGAGATACCCAGCAGCATCATGCGGCACCCAGGAGACAGGGCCAGCTCTTCTCAGCCTTAGCTGACGTCCCAGGCAGACCACACACCCCCAGCATCCTCCTCCCACCACTGCCAGAGTAGGGTGCTGTGCGTGGGTGCTATACACGTGAACACTCCATCCTCTCTGCACACAATGACACCTTGTGAAACTCACCGCCAAAATCTGACAAGGAGGGGACATCTCTGGGGAGGTCAAATATGACCAGAGCAGAGGCTCTTCCTGGGGAGAGCTGCAGTTTAGAGCTGCTCTGCCTAATTATCTTCACTGTTATAAAAAAGCTGTATCTCACTTGTCCAAATTCCAGAGGAGGCCATGCTTAAGCTACCTCTTACCCTCTTCTCAGGTCATTGCCACAGATACTCCCTAGCAAGAAGTTAAAAAGGAGCTAAATACATCACCTGAGGTGTGGAAATTAACACTTTCACGAACCTCTTCCAGCTCGCCAAGATAGTCTGATGTGCCAACACCAGACCAGGGCTGTCCAGGGATGAAATCCCTGACCACTGGCAGCTAAACATTTCCGCGGTTTAGTGGGTCGGTGGGAGTCACTAACAGCAGTAGCCTTGCAGGCTTCTTCAGGAAGGCGAACGCAGCTGATGTGAAAGCTGTTTTACCAAGCAGCAGCCAGGCTGGGGCAGCAGTGCGGTGACCAAATCCGCAGCAGCGGGGACATGGATTCCTGGCAGCACCGCTGCCTCCAGGAACAGCCCGAGACCTCTGCATTTGCCCTCTCCCCCCCACCACCTCAGCTGGTGAAGCCCTGGCTGCTGAGCGCAGGGAATCAGGCAGACTCCTCCTTGGAGGAGCGCGTCCCCACCACCGCACCCACTTGGCCACGCGTCAGTTGTGAGACGTGCCAGCAGCCTGAGCGAGGCTGTCCCCATCCCCTGTCCCCCAGGCAGCCCTGCTGCGGGCAGGGCAGGCAGCCCTCGCTGGGGCCACCTCTCTGCACCCCCAATTGCTGCTATTCTCTTTTGTCCCTGCAGAAGGGAGTGACAGTCCCATGTCTTAGGATCCTCCTCTGACAGACTCCCCATCCCTGCCTCCAGCAGTCACACCAACATCAGTCTCGCAGTGGCCATCCATACTGAGAATGGGACCAGGGAACTCCCTGGGCACCTTCACTGCATCTTCGTCCCACGGTGGGAGATGCCTGCTCCTGCCCCGAGGATGCACTACATCCACCCACCGACCTGAGAGCGCCAGGCCCCAGTCCCACGCGCTGCACGGAGGTACCTTGTCCAGAGTCAGGAGGGACTTGACGCCAAAGCTCATGCAGCCGATCAGTTCGCTCTGTCTGCAGGAGAGCCGGAGACCGTCAGCACACACTTGTTGAAAACTCCCCGGGGACCAGCTCCCCACGTGCACCCCTTTGCAGGGACCCCGCAAACATTCCCCGCAGTGCCCAGGACATGCCTCCCTCTCCATGCTTTGAGCAAGCATGGTGTAACCACACCTCTCAGCTGCACCGGGGGCAAGGAGGAGCTGGGCTGAAGCGTCCTGGTCGCCTCCAGCCTACCTGATGCTGGCAGGGGCTTGGCCAAGGAGGCAGATGCCACTTGCTTGAGCAGGCAGCACAGCCTGTGAGCTGCCAGACCCCTTGCTGCTGGGCTTTCCTCCTCACTGCATTGCCCCCAGAGGTAGGGAAGGTCCCCAGCCCAGAGCCAGGCTCCAGCCCCACTTGGCTTTAGCCAGCAGTGCAGGCGTGAGTGGCTGAAGGATTTTTAAGCGCTGGTCCCGCTGATGGCTACCAAGCAGCAGCAATGCCGACAGAGCGGCAAGGGCAGGATTTCCTCTCCGCCAGCCTGCAGGCGGCGTGTTGCTCACCAGCACCGGCTGCCCATGAGAATGACCCTGGCTGGGGTGCCCCACCAGCAGGTCCAGCCCCGCTGCTCAGCTGCCCCCACTTCACCGACCTGCAGCCTTCGTGCAGCGCAGCCCTGATGCCAGGGCCAGCCCTCGAGGCCCGGGGCACTGGAGGAGCTCACATGGGGTGGCCAGAGCAGATGGCAGGTTTGCTGCCACGCCAGCCCCATTTGAAAGAGATTGTATGGCAGGCTGACAGCCCCTTACCTGGAATTTCTCTCTCGGTTCCAGACTGTCACCAGGAGACGTTTCTGCTCATGCTCTTCTTGCACCAGGCTGTAACAAGCAGAGGGGACATCCCATGAGCACTGACCTTCTCCAGGAGTGCCCTCGCAGCCAGAGACCCCTCGCCCTCCTCAGAGCCAGGTCTTGTCCTCCATTCTCTGCATAGAGCACTACAGCATCACCCCAAACGATAATCTCCTCAAACAAGCCATTGTTGCGCGAATTCACCCGTTCCTGACGGACAACTGCAAAGGAATGTGACCTGTCCAGGACAGGCGCTGGGGACACCGCTCAGGTGGTTTAAGGGGACAAGTAATCTTGCAGAAAGACACACATCCAACAACAAAGGGTAAATGCAAGGAACAAGCCACGTTTCATGCTCTGAAACAACTATCCTGTGCCAGATTAAATGCTGCATGGGGGCAGAGGTCTGACACAGACTGGTTAGCCAGCTATGACAAGCTCTACCAAAACACAACAAGCCGTACAGCTCCTTTCCCATGCAGAGACATGCTGTAGCTATAGGAAATCCTTTTACCTTCCTCATTCATACTGATGCCCATACTATTGCAGACGCAAGGTCTAGGAAATGGAGCGTGTTTGCCCAACTCCTGCCCAGCAAGAAAGTCCAACTGTGCGGGAGCGTCGCTGCCATGCTGTGTGCTGACAGCTCTGTGAGCCTCCGCAGAGCTCTGCCCAAAAGTTCAAGGCATTTCAGCTATAAAAAACAGCGGAATAATGTCTGTCACTCCTCATCTCAGCAGCAGACTTGCTCATGCATGATGCGTGTTTATTATGGATCATAATGCAAAAGCAAACACGGGGCCTTGGCTTCGAGAGGGTACCCCAGGACAGCGGCCACGTGGGTCCCCCATGCTCAGTGCGAACACGGCGCTGACGGATGGGGCAGAGCTACCTCTGCCCCATCATACTCACAAAACAAAGTGCTCGTGGAAGACAGGATTTTTGCTGTCTGGCACAGTCTTCGTCTTTTGCCTGCATTTCCAGTCAGCATCTGGCACAATCGACACCTTTATAGAGGATAACAAGCAGTGTGTTAGCACTCTCAAAGCAAGCACTGGCACACAGCTGCCAGCTCTGCCGCTGCAGTGGCAGGAGACCGGCACAGCCACTTTTATGGATGGCTAAGCCTCAAAGATCCAGCTGAGCCTGTGCTAATGGGTGGTTTAGATCGCTTTACCTTATGCGTGTCAAGTAATTGTGTTACAAAACTCCCTGGGGTAGGGTAGGGAAGGAAAAGAGCAGAAAAATCAAAGACTGATGTACACAAACGCTGCTGGCCGGTCTCTGACTTGCAGTCCCCTTGTAGGGGAGATGCTTCCTGCACCGTGCACACCGTGGTGGAAGCAGCCTGCCAATATGACCTCCAGGAGAGCCCAGAGCCACACCGTGCTGGCCAAACGCTTATCCCCACCAGCCCTTGGGCACCCAGTGGGATGCTCTTGCAATGAATGGTTGACATAGCCCTTAGCAGGGTCCTGTCCTCTGCTTTTCTGGCTCCACACAGACACCGTGCCAACAAAACCTGTGAGCCCTCCAGCGCCAGTCAAGAGACCAGCCACCTCCCTGCATGCCATGGATGCTCGGCCAGAGGAGGACAGAAGAGGAAAGGGAAGGGACAGGCAGCCCAGAGCATGCTTGGAGAAGCCAACCACAAAATCCCAAGAAAGCACAAAGCTCCCCGAGCAAAGCCCCAGGAGAACCCACCTTCACGTAGGAGTCGCATGTCCGGTACTCCTTTCCCATCAGACCTTTTGCTTCCATGACTGGAAAGGAAACGAAACAGTCGTGCCCCAAAGCAGCAGGGAAGGCATCCTTCTACGCCGCAGCGCCCTGCTCCATGGGGTGCTCCCTCCTTGTGGGGCCGAACCCATCTCCTACCCCAACAGAACCCTGCGCACACCTCCCCAGCAGCCTGGTCTCACTGGGCACCCACAAACGGGTGAAGGGTTTTATAGTATTTTTTCTTTAATATACTCGTGCTATAAATACAAGCGTCTGTGGGTGAGGTTGCTGGAAGATGCAGTTCAGCATCCGGATGGCAAATTGCATTTCATTTGCCTGACTCCACACGGCTCTGGGCTCCCAGCCCCGAAGCCAAATGTATCATCAAGTTAAATATCAATGGCTGCATCCTGATGGCAGCCCCGCCAGCAGGGACTCAGCATTGCACCACTGCCGACAGTTGGGAACCCTGTGCTTCCCAGCCGTCTGGCTGGAGGCAATAGATGTGCAGCAGAGTCTGGACAGCCCAGGATGGGCTGTCGGAATGAGGCTAAGCTCCCTCCTAACAAGCCCGGAAAGGCAGCAGGGACTTTGCCTTTGTCAGAGACAGATATGTGCTCCTAATAAACATGGTCAGCCCAACAGAAACCCCAGTGCACGAGGGGAAAGGGGTTCTGCAAGACCCTCTGGTGCTTCACGAAGCAGTTTGCAAGGTTCCTCCAGGACAGGCTGCACCAAGAGCTTCCTCCTCCAGCCAGACCTGCTTTGGATTTAAAGACGATGGGGTACACCGAGTACCCTGACCATCCGGCACATGCAGCGGGATGTCGGGTGCCAGACCTTGAGCCTTCTTTGCCTGTTTGCGGGACTGTTTCCCTCTTCCCAGACCCTCTTTTGGAGACAGCATCAGAACGAGACAGTGACTCGCATCCAGCTCACGCTGGGGCTGCTCCAGATGGAGGGATTTGGAGTAAAAAGCCTATGTCAGACCCTCAGAATCACACACAGCTTGGAGGGAGAGAGAAAAAAAACAACCACACAACACATTTTCCTGCTGTTGTTTCTTTACAAAGCTTGCCTGCAGGGCCAGAAAAAGGCAGCAAGCTCTCGTGGATGCCGAGTGGAGAACAGGGGCTGCGTGTGGCTCGGCCAGTCCCTACGGCCTCACCAGGTTCAGGCCATCCTCTGCCCCCATTTCATTACATCCAGGCAGGGGTGAGGCTGAGCTTTAAGGTGGGATGTTGCTCAAGAGAAAGCTTTTTCCATCCCCTCCTGCCCTGCCGCGAAGGTCTCTGGGATGGGGGTGCCTTCCTCCCCCAAAGCATGGCCACCCCCAAGGGCACTGGGAGTCCCTTTCACCCTACAGAGCCCAAATCCAGGGCAGCCACAAGCCTGCTCTGTTCACAGGGAGGAAGTATTTACTCTGACCGTTTCAAACTCTTGGCTTTTTCCTTGATTCTTTAACCATTTACTCATCATGAAGCCCTGACGAGCCCCTGGTAGAAAGAGCTCTGTGCCAGAAGACCAGGACACACACATCCTTCACTGCGGGAGCAATCCTAAAGGGCCCCCCAAGTGTCTCCAGACAGGTTTTTCCTAAAGAAAAGAGCTAGTTCTGATACTCTCATTGGCCTTTCTAATGAATGCCATTAAAGCTGCAGCGACGCAGTTCCCTGGGACCTGCCTCCTGACTGCGACGGAGCCAGTGTCCCGGGTGCTGCATCGCTCTGCTACATCGGTACCCAGCAGTGGCCAGGCCAGAGTCCCCAGAGAAAGAAAAGCATCGCTTGTCCCCAGTGGGACATGCCATGGCTTGAGGGACAGCAACCCCAGCCTGGACCAGGTGAAATATTTTTGTTGAAGAAATATTGCTGGTGTGAAAAAAATGCAGCATCTGGAGGTAATGGAACAATTTGGAAATCCTGGCAAATGTGCCAAACAGTTTTGGCCAATGTAAAAGACGTTTCGGTGGGGACAAAACATTTCAGATTTTCTTTTCCAAATTATATTTGCCTTTTTTCTCTTCACATGGGGCTAAAGAAAAAATTTATACAGGTGGACGCAAAACACACCATGGTCACCCAAAATGAAGGTCTCCAGACATTTCAGTTTGGCCTCCAAGACAAAGAGCTCCCCGTTGTGCCACTCTACCAGAGAGTTGCTCCCAACAGCTGCCATGAAGCTCCAAAGAGCTTGAAGAAAGGGCACGGAAGTGCTGTCCCCATCACTAGCCCACCGTGGCTCTGGGGCCACCTCGCCGCGCACCCCAGGGAGATACTCACTGTGCAGCACCAGGATCCGGTCCTGCACCTCGACGGACAGCTTCAGCTGGCCTGGAGGAAAGGAGAGGAGAGACGGTGAAGGAGGCAGGGCTCGCCCACCGCCCCTGGCACTCCGCAGCGCAGGGACCCCGCGGCTCTGAGGCCAAACCCATCCTGCTTCCCCACCCCTGTGCACGGGGACATCGCTCAGGGAGCCCAGGGGAAAGAGGTAGGAGGAAACATCTTCTGCTACCGAGAAAGTCTTACGGCTCCAGATGCAAAAAAAAACATTGCAGGAAAACCTGAACACTTTTTTCTCAGCGCACAGTAAACTCTGATGGCAGGAGGCACGAGCCCGTGGCAGACGGGAAGTGGGAGCACCGCGATGAAACAGTCGCTGTGGGATGAATTAGCCCTCGTCTAACAGGGAGATGCAGCGTGCTCAAATCCTGCCCCCAGCCCAGATTCAACTTCCCCTTTGCCTCTCCCCTGAGCTTCTGTGCGGGCAAGGGGCTGTCACCCCTGCAGGAGGTGACAGCGGGCCAAGTTACAGACGGCCTGGATGAAGGCCAAGGACAACCGGTGCCTTTGGTGGCAGGAACATGCCGGCGCAGGGTCAGCCAAGGCTGGCTCCGCTGGGGGAGCCTGGGCCAGGCACTAACCCCCTTTCATCCATCCGCTGCCGCGGGACCTCGCTCCACGCACGCCTCCTCCCTGCTTGCCCTACTGCGTGCCTCATCTGTCCGGCGTGGTTTTGGGGAAATGGGAAAGCCTTAAAATCCCTTCGCTGACTGTCACGTCCAGCAACAGTTTGTTATGGCACTGTCGAGCAGAGAAGACGCAGCGACAAGGACTAACGCAGCACTGCTCGCAGCACAAACCCAGCCCCCAGGAATCAAAGCACAACAAGAGCTCCCACGTTGCAGCCTCCTGCATTTCCTGGGGATCCCAGACAGGACGGGTTGGTGAGCAGACAGGTAATCTCCTAAAACCAGGAGTCAATACTTGCTTTAATCTAGGATTAAACGAGAATGGTTTCAGTCATGTGTTTTGACACTGAATAATTGTCAGGTGGCCAACGAGGCCAGGAGCAGCCAACCCCCAGCAAAGAGCAACGCTCCACCATCCTGCAATCCCTCTGCCACAGAGCCCGGGGAGGGTGGGACCAAGCGGGACCTGGCTCCCAGAGACGCAGCACCTCCGGGGAAGTGCCTGGCTCCCTGCACAACAGCACTGAGAGCTTTTGATTGAGGAGGTGATGGTAGGGGAGAGCCTTGAGGAGCTACATGAAAGAAACATGACTTTGGAGCAAGTCTGGATGGAGATCCCCCTTGCTCCTGATGCACTGGCTTAGCCATCCACCAAGCCAGGGAGCAGGACCTGCCTGCCCGGGGTGCCTGGTTCCCCACTGCCAGGGGAGCTGCTGCCCATCATCATCATCGTGAGAGAGCGAGGAGCACGGTCAAGAGATCAAAGGCAGGATGGTTCCAACAGTCATTAACAGGCCAAAAGAGCAGATCTTCATAAGAGTACAGGGGCATCCACTTCTGCCCCTCAATGGGGCAGAGAATAACATAGAAGAGAAAGAAAGCTCAAAGTGCCAAGATCTGGCACCTGGAGCGAATGACAGGATCTTTCTTGGAGCAGGAGATTGATCTGACTCCTTAAAGGAGGACCCAGGACCTAACGCACTCCACAGGCAGCCCTTAAGGAGGAGGCTTCTCCCCATGTGGATTAGCACAGCACAGCAGCAAGAGCTCACCATGGGACTCAGCAGTCCCTCATGGGTGCTGCAGAGCCCGCCTGTACGAGACGGCAGCCCAGCGGGCCACATTTCTACCCATCAGTGCCTTCTAAGCTACCTAAGGCGAGAGAGGAAGGGAGGACTCAGAGCAGAGAGAGGAGGTGGAAGGGTTGGAGCCAGGGAAGTGTCAGACCAGGGTTCCACAGGGAGCAGACCAGGGTAACTCAGCTCAGCCCGAGCATCCTCCTGGGGAATTGCTCCCAGTGTGGACTACGCGGGTAGATCCAACCTCTGTGCTCATGAGCTTGTCTGTCCGGGACAGAGTCAGCTGAAAACCAAGTACACAGGCCAGGGGAGCTCAGGCCAGCCTCTGAATCCAGAAACCCCTCTGCAGAGGCACAAGGACAAGACGGGAGGATTATTTCTAAAGAAAGAAGGAAGGAAGAGGCATCCCAAACACGCCTTTGGCTCACGACAGGCAAAGTGACCACCTGCAAACACAGTGTCCACAACTGCAGAAGAATACACTGCTCACAGCCCACACAGCGTCCACAACTGTAGAAGCCACACTGCTCACAACAGCCACAGCACTGTCCACAACAGCCCACACAGCACCCACAACTGCAGAAGAATACGCTGCTCACAGCCCGCTCTGAAGCGGAGCTGAGAATAAAATCCAGCTCTTACACAGCTCCAAATCCAACCTGCAGTCCCCACTGCCTTTGGAAATGCCCGTGCCAGATCCCTCAGCTCCCACCTCTTACCTGGAGCTGCAATTTGTGATTTTCAGCACTGCCTGGACCTGTCTGCCAAGAACTGATTCCCAGCATTGAAAACCCAACCAGTCATAGACCCTGCACGGGAGGCCAGCGCCTGGAGAGCCACACGTGTAAACCCCAGCTGAGGAGGGCACGGGTCCCAGGGCGGCAGCTCTGCTCTGCCAGCTGACTTACAGTCAGACACTCGCTTTCCCATGCGCGAGCGACTCTGTATCAGCCCTAACAATCTATCCACAATACTGAAACTGGCACGAAGACTCGACAACAGCGTTTGCCAGGGTCTGGGTGAAATGCTGCTGGGGTGTGCAGCAGGCTGCCAGCCCTCAGCTCGCTGGCCCCGCTCGGGCACGGAGGGCTTTGCCCCTCTGAATGCCTTCCCAAGGGGGTTCCCAGGGAACGGCCGCCTGCCAGCCTGGGTAGGATGTGCAGATTTTAGGGGTGATGCAGGGTCTGAAATCTGTGTAATTGTTCTGGACCGACCCAAAACTAAACATGTCCCAACGCTCCTGAAGAATCAAAAGATTGAAAGCATCATTAGGACAACGTTTCATTTAGTCCAAAGCAAAATATCCCATTTTCACTTTTTTTCCAGCTTACAAAACACAACAAACAAAATAAACTTGTAAACATCATTTACAGACATCTAAACATCTTTCACATTAAAAACCAACATTTCATTTTGCAAAAGACACACCCAAGGGCTTAGGTTTGCTGGGGTGGGGATATCTTATGGGATTCTTTAACCTGAAACAATTCAGAGAATTCATATCTCATTTTTCACTCAAAAAACATTGACAGAAATTTTTCAAATCTCTCTCCAACTCACATGTATGTCCATGTGTGCATCTGCATGTTTGAGAGCACGTGTGCACATGTGGAAATGCATGTCTTTATGTGCATGTATACATGTGCAAGTGAGAGCAAGGTGAGACAGTAAAGGCAAGAGCCAGGTGGGGTAAATTAGGACAGCTCTATTGAAGCTAATACTGATTTACAACAGTGAGAATATTGTCCCCCAGTTTCATCATGCCACCCCAGCCTTTTGGACCAAGACTTTAACCTTTCTGCTATCTCCAGATCTCTGATGCTGTGGGAACCCTCTCGCTGGTCCCCTATTAGCATGTAACAACCGTTAAAACACGAAAGCAAAATGCCCCCGTCTAACCAAGCATGACGAGGAGTCAGCCCAGTAATGAATGGGCCCTGGGGAGGAGAAAGGAAGCTTTTGTGCTGGGTAATTCGGGGGGAGGAAGCTCTACGCCCAGCTGGGGATGGCTGGGGCTGCTCGGCTCCGGGGGCAGCACATGGGGACAAGGCTTCTGCATGATGAAGGATCAGGCCAGACAGGACCGTGGCCTCGTGCATGGCATGCACTGCTGCTGCTGTGCAGGGACAGTGTCCGTGGCCCGTGTCACAGGCTACACCAGCACCAAAGAGAGGAGAGCAGGGAGAAAATGGGCAGTTTTGCCTTTTTCAGAAGTACCACAAATTGGCCCCTAGTAGAATGGGAGTATTGGTGGGAAAGGTCCTCTCCTTCCCATGAGGAACAGATGACATGTCTCTCTTAATGCATTTGCTCCCAAGCGTCTCCAAAGCACATGAAGGGATAAATCGCACGCCCCAGCCAGCCTGTCTGACCCCACGGGGGTCCCAGCCTGCTCATGCCGGGGAAGCACTCATCGGCTTTGTAGCAATGCCAGTGCTTGTATGGGGCCGGGATCAGAGAGGGAAGCTGCTGCCAGAAAGAGCCGATCCAGCCTGAGCTGGTGGAAGGGATTTCTGTACCAACGTCTGCACTGGGACAGACCAGCTCAGTGGCAGCAGTCGCGGTTTCACAGATGCACGGGTCAGTAACCTTCCTCCAGACCTGGGTGGGCAGAAACACAACCCCTATCAAGGCAAGTTCTTGGGCTGCATTTCTACCTCGCTCCAAGAGCGGAGGGTCAGAGAAACATTATCCCCTGGGTTTATCCCTCTTGATACGTCTCTAACATGAACTAAGGGAAACAGCTTCAGCAGAGAGGCCCTGGCACAGCTTGTCCAGGTCACCTGTGTTCAGTACAGGTTAATATAAGTGAAAACAGGCGCAGAGAAAGGCCAGAGGGAGACAAAAGAGTAGACAGTTCGTCTCACGACAGGACCCACACACCGCTCCTGGGTGCACACCCCATCACGGAGGGAGGGCTCAGCCGGGCTGACAGGGCTGCAGCAGAACGGACGCCCAGGCCCCGTCCTTCTGGACCCCGCAGGGCCAGGAGAGGCAGTTCAAGCTGATGAACAAAGCTGGCACAAGGAGAACAGGGAAAAACCGGGTATGAACAAGCACAAGATGGTAATCAAGCAGGTTCCCACCCATGAGAGAAGTTTGCCAGGCTAAGGGAGGGGACACATGAATGTTGTCCTTTGGGAGCAGACCTAGCAGGCAGGAAAATCTGTTCCTTACTGATGATCTCCGACAAATGGAAAATTTGGGTTTCTCCTCCTTCAACGCTTTTCTGTTTTATTGTAGGAAAAATGCAGGTTTTGCCCTGACTGGGACAGCCAAGAACCATCGGTGCACACACCCGGGGGGATTCTCACCACAGGAAAGCAGTGTCAGATAAATGCCTGGGCGGGAGGTCCCCACGGGCACAAGGCAGAGCACCCCGAGGTCACCATCTACAACCTCGGGCCCTGGCACCAGCCCTGTTGAAGACCCTCTCCTTGGTCACCCACATGGAGAGGGTAGTGCTGGCCCTGTCCTGCCACTGCTCTTCTGAACACGCAACGCCACATCTCACCAGCGATGGTCAGCCCGTGAAGGGAACTGTGGCTGCAGACACAATGCTTGGCCCGGACTTGGTTACAGAGCCAAGAGGCACCACAAAACTCACATTATTTGGCATGCATAACTCCTACAGACAAAGACAGGAGGATTTCAGCCTACAGGCTGTCCTCAGCAGTTTGACGCTTACAAGGCAAAAGGTGGAAGGCTGCCCAGGGAAGGGACGCCCTGCTCCACTCATGTAACCCTCTCTGCTTCCCTGCAGCCTCTTTAACAGCACCTCGCACGATCGCCTGCCCTGCTCGCTAAAACAAGCGGAAGCTTTGAAAGAAAACTGCTGCTTAAAAAGTGGCACCCGGGAAGGGCACCCAGCTTCCCTCTGCATAAGA